GGGGCCTGGAGAAGGGGCGGGGAAGAGAGGGGAGGAATGTAAGGGGCTGGGCAGGACCTTGGGCAGGGGTCTGGGGAGGGGTCCCTACCTCTTGGGTGCTTTCCTGACTTTCCTCTTCCTCTGCAGCCATGCGTCCACTTCAGGAGTGGATTCCGGGGTGGGCTTCGTATGATCAATGGTGTAGATATCTCTTCCTTGCTTCCAAAGCTGGTATCTGTCTGGCTGAAATATCTTCACAAAGATGTCCATAGAAATTTTCACCATGTCTTTCCTGCAAGTGCACTGAAACACAACGCAAATGGTCCATGGGAGGTGTCTCTGAAGCATCTCAGTAGCTCCACAGAAACCACATCTAGTCAGTCCATGAATGACCAGACATAACTGACACTAATGCTTTACAATTCCAAACAGTGAGTGATAAACCCAATTTTCTTCTAAGTGGAGGTGGCAGCCTACCAATTCACATGCATGCATGGGAAAGTGGAATGAAGATGTATTTTATAGAGCTCACAGGAAACCAAGAGCCACAATTAAGAGGCAAGTATGTATGTGAGAAAGGACACCAGTGGACGACGGAAGGGCAGACCTCCCATACGAGGCTGCTTCATTGAACTGGAACCAGACAGGTCTGTCAAGCTGAGTGCTCACGGGATCAAAGAACCAAAGCAGACAAAGAACATGTGATCTCAACACTGAGGCCAAAAGAGGAAGACAAAGGTTATCCAAGGATCGTTTTAACCACATTCAAGTTCATCCAAAGGCTTGCAAAGAAATCAGTTCATTTAGGAGCAAATGAACGCTCTCTTCTGTATCATCTCACACCATGCAGACCGCCCCACCAATGACAAGGCAATCATCTGATCACCACTGCTTACGTGAGAATTTCAAACCAAACCAGCCGCCACAAAACAAATCAATTCTGACTTCTGCGGCCTTCCGCTGAGTTGCCAAGGCTGTGTGTAAATCTTAACAGGAGCAGAGTGCCAACTTTCTTCAACAAATCAACTAGGAGATTTGAATGGCTGGCCTCTCAGTCAGCAACCAAACGTTTAACACACTGAGCCACCACAGGGCTTTGAGTATTTAAAAATAGAGCTAATTTTTAATCCCCTTCATATCTATATTTTCATGAATACTCAGCATTCAAAGTGTTTTCTATGATGTTGTTGTTGACTGCTGTGGAGTCAAGCTCTACTCATAGTGACCCTATGAACAAAACCCCTGAAAGTTTTTTATAACTATTGTTATTTCTCAAAGTTTTATCAGAGTTTCCAGTGGCAATAAGCTGCGCTCCAATCTCAAAGGCCACCAGCCAAGGAGAAGGATGAACAATCTCCTCCCGTGTGATTAACTGCCTCTAAAAACACACCAGTGGGTCAGCTATGGACTGGTTCCGACCCTACACACAACATGTTATATGACAAGGGTAAATGAAGTCTTAACATAAGTTCTAATTAGGTCTATCCACTCCGTGGGGCAGTCATCATTCAGACATTAGGAACTCATCTCAAAGACTGAACTGACAGATCCTGACAGCCCCTCATACAATCCAAGCACAGATGAGTGATGGAATAAATGTGACAGAAACAATCTCTAAGATCTCAGGAATACAATCATCAGCTCCAGGCAAATCAAGTATAAAGCATTAGTAACCTACAGTTCCAAATTTCATTAGCTAAAAATAACAGGAATTTAAACCTGAATTATCAGTCTACATTATCTTGCATTCAGCATGGTTAAGCCAACTTCACATTCTACTATACACAGGTATCTGGGCCACTTTCTATTACTTGTCCATATTTCTAAAATCACATCTGCATTTTCCAATCCCTCCCTGTCTTTCTATCCTTAGAAGTCCAATCCTGCACACCTATGTTTACTGCAGCTTTGTTCACAATAGCAAAAAGCTGGAAACAACCCAAACGCCCAGCAACAAACGAATGGATAGAGAAGTTCTGGTATATTCACACAATGGAATACTATGCAGCACTGAAAAACAAGGAACTCATAAAATATTACGCAAAATGGATGACCCTGGAGGACATTATGCTGAGTGAAATATCTCAGTCACAAAAGGACAAATATTGCATAGGGTCACTGTTGTAAAACAGGACTGATCAGAGTTGAGGGAAGACAGAAAAGGATGGGAGGAATGATGTATCCTGCATTGAAACATATGATGGAGAGAACTGCTTAAAAGGGATATATGATTGGGTGTTATTGTCATTACAGGAGTCCAGAATGAAGGCTGCACAGTGGAGTAGACTTGGGAGGAGGGATTGCATAACAATGAAAGAGTTCTTCTTTTACTTTTCAAAGAAAAGAGTGAAGTGGGGCAGGGGGCAGGGAGAAAAGCGCAACAATGAATGACTGGACACCCTAAGTCTCAGTAAACTTTCATTAAAATTTGTAATAAAAAAAAAGAAGTTCAATCTGACACCATCTCCAGTCATTTCTTCCTCCAAGTGTCTCCCAGGTGACTCTTTCACGCCAGCTTCCTTCCAGGTTCCACGTCTTTTCTTGAATCCTAGAGTAATGAGGCTACTCACTTGCTCATGTGCAGCCTTCTCCTTGCACAAATCTGTTTTAAAATTAGTGAGTAATTTTCCTCAAAAACCATGTCATCTTTCATTGTTTAGTTGAATAACGTTTAATGACACTGCTCTGCTTTTAGAATAAAGCCTGAATTCAAGAGTGTATCACACAAATGCTTGGAGGTTTTACTGCACCAATGAGATCTAGACATTTCCCTCTGGAGCCCTGGTGACGGTGCGACTAAGGCATCTGGCCCAAAGGCTGGTGGTGCAAACCACCATGCACCCTTTCGAAGAAAAAGACAACTGTTTACTTGTATGAGGATGTACAAGGTTGGAGTCTGACCTGACTCCATGGCGGGGGGCTGGATGCGGCTTTGAGACGCAGGAGCTGAGCAGCAGCCGGCATCTGCTCATCTCAGTGTGTCCACTCCCTTCTCTGCCTCCTAGCCATTCCGCGACCCAGCGAAAACCCACCCTGGTTCACGACCACCCCTCAGATTGTCTTCATTTCTGTGAACCAGTTTCCACCTAGCTGCACCACCGCTTTCCACTCTCAGTTACTCATGCAGTTCTTAGTCAGTCTGTTTTCAGTCTCTTGCCTTCCGAAACACCAAACCCACTGCCATCAAGGGGACTGACCCACGGCAACCCTCCATCGGGTTCCAGAGACTGTAAATCTTCCGGAAGAGATTCCCCATTCAAAAGAGTACGGAGAGTCAACAATGAGAATCTGGGGGAGGATCCCCCGCCCCAGTTAAAATTCAATCTTTTTACAAGAGAATACGCAGTAGACACTTTTCTATTCCTGACAGTCAATACTGTTCTCTCCATGAAAAGAAACAGGAGCAAGCGAGTGATGTTCTTTCTTCCTGACCCACCTGAGACAAGGATACCTCCTTAGAACAGACGAGCTGAGGAAGGTGGAGAACACTTCGTTTAAGGAAAATGTCTTGAAAAAACAACTTTAAATGGACATTCGCCGTCACCCTGTTTGCTGAGATGGTGCTTTAGTGCCCTTTTCACATCAGCTTCCACAGCCTGAACAAACTACAGAGGTCAGGTGAACAAATGGCAGAGAAGCCACCATCAAGAGGTGTCCCCTTACAGCAAACCCACAGCCCAGTCCACGCAGAGGCTTCGGCACAGAGAGGACCCTGTTTGGGGGAGTGATCTTGGAGATTAGGGATTCCAGGTCATCAGTGGCAAGGCTCGCTTCCCTGATCATTTGTAAATAGCTGCTCTGTTGAAGGCGGAGGGTGTGAAATCTACTTGATGGACATCCTTGACCAATTCCAGAGCTACTCCCCTGACGTGAGTCACAACCATTCTCAATCTAGGAGCAAAGCCTCTCTATGGAGACCTGTATAGTACACACTTCAACCTCCCTTTAACCACAAACCTGGAATCTTGTAAACGCACAAAACACACCACTTGCCTGACAACTAGTTTTACCAGAAGTACGATAGAGAAACGGCATCATCATTATTACGTTCTCTGAAATAGAGTAACAAAATACCCAACATAATGCAAAGGGCAGTGTCAGAGTCCAAATCTCAGCAGCCCAGAGAAAGCCCACCTGGCTGCCCACTGTCACTGAACTGGAGCGAACGCATCACTGACCCTGCACTGGGTCTTCTTGCATGTGAGATTACCTAGCTTTCTCCCTCAGACCAGCTGGTCTGAGGCAGGTCAAGGAGGCAGGGCCTGTGGGCAGCAGTGCAATGCCCTGAGCAGCACACTGCCCTCCTGTTAGTGACGCCGTCATAACCACATGACCATCAACACAGATCATGCAGAAGGAGCGTGCACACATCAACAGGGAAGGGAGTTTGTTTACAGATGACACCGGATACTAAGAACAATAACAACAATAGGAAATACCTGCCATAAAATCAAATAAGAATAGTAATTCTTGTTGTTACGTGTCATCGAGTCACCTGCGACTGACTCATAGCGACCCTGTGTACAACAGCCCTAAACCCTGCCATCTCTTGCCAACCTTTTGTCTCTGAAACACCGACCCCATTACCCCAGTGACAGGCTGTCCCTCCACCCTCAGCAGGTTAATTTTTCTAAATATGTACGTAGGTTCAAATGTTAATCATCAATATAAAAAGTACTGTTAAGATGCTGTTTACAATGAATTTTCACATACTGCATGATTTAAGATTATCACGTGGAATTTTTATTATATTCTAACTGGGCACTGCAAAAAGTCAAACACCTCTGCTGATTATTTATGCTAAGAACTAGCAATTGGATTTAAAGATGAAATTGCTGTAAAATTGGTAGCTATTCTCAGACAAAAACTACTAAGTTATCTGACTAGTAGAATTAGAAATTTTATGTAATCACAATTTGTGACTGATAAAATAAGACATAAACCAGCTAAAATGAAGTAGCATCTTCACACACTTTATGGCAACATGAATAATGGCTAATTAAGAAATGTTTCTTGTGCACATGTCTGACAAGGGTGGTTTTCTAAGTTTGCAAAAATGGAGGAAGAGATTCTGCTCTTCGGTCTATTTATAAAAATTAAATGATAAGAAGAACTTAAGGAGAAAATTAACCAAAATTCAATTGAAAATTGAGAACTTGGGGACACGGTGGGTCAGTGGTAGAATTCTTGCCTTCCGTGTGGGAGACCAACCCGCCAACTGTGGGCAGCTACTGCCCGGGGACCCTGACTGCTGCACGACTCTGATCAGGATTCAGCAGAACCACCAAAGTCAAACTAGGAAG